TAGAATTCCCCAAATCCGAACATGGCATAATCTAGACTTCTTGCAATTAGACTTACTCGAATTTGGGCTCATCTTTAAATCCGAACTTTTGTACTGACATAAATATGATGCCTGTTCTACCTCGGGTCAGAAGAACAGTACCGTCGATACCAAACATCTCGGATGTTTGGTTTAAATAATTTGTACTATGTATCTTTATTTTTGCCTTCCTTTACAGATTCTAATAGTTTTTGAATAAAACATTTGTTGCCCATAATAATATCAATAAGTTCAAAGACGAAGAGATTTACGTTCACTTTTGTCCAAAAACGTCAAATTCTTGAAGATATAGATAAAAAAAAAAATAAGTAACTTGTTCTAAGGACTGAATATAATATTGGAAGAAGCTCACTTTTCTAAATAAAATTAAAATAAAAAGAGAAATGCTTCAGGAAAAGATTTCATGATCCAAAACAACGTCAATGTGACCAAGAATGGTTTTCCTCAAAACGATTAGGTTTTTGCAATATCAAGCCGATGCTAATTGCCAAAAAAAGGCTTTTTATGCTGAAAATAACATGTAAACAAAAATGAAATTTAGTGAATGTTGGGTTAGAAATTTCAAGACTCGACATGGAATATGGTAATTAAAAAAAATAGGTGAACAGCGTTCAGCTCATACACAGACAGCTTCCACATAAAGTGAAAACTTCTTCAAAATTGTGAAGGACTATGATTTAACTCCAGATGAAATCTACAATTTTGATGAAAGTAGTATCTATTGGCAATGTTTGACCACAAAACATTAGATGGTGCGGACGAACGAAAAACAATAGATTATAAAATAAATAAAGATTTTCATTGCTGGTGTCTGCTAATGCGTTAAGTAGCTACAAACTTAAAGTTTCAGTTATTGGAAAATCTAAGTCTCGTCTTTCTTTGAAAAGAATTGTACACATGCACATACAAATCCTCAAAAATGCATGGATGAATCAGTATCTGTTTACTGATTGGTACTTTCAGGATGTTGTCCCATCTATAAAAAACCGCTTTCTTGAATTAGGCAAAGTAAATTCAAGATGCTTACTTCTTTTAGACAACTGCAGAGCCCATCCAAATAAAGATAAATTAGTGACATCTTGTGGACATATTTTTGCGGGCTATTTACCGCCCAACGTTACCTCGTTGATGAAACCGATGGATCAAG